CCCCCCCCCCCCAGTAATTAGATTCTATGTATAAATATTAATTTTGTTAAAATTATTGGAGGTTTGCCTTGAATTTGTCCCCCTCCCACTGCTACAGCAGGGCAAATAAATCTGGGGGTTAGGTAGGCCTTTGCTTTCTGCCTCCCCCCAACTTCTTTCCTTGGCAGCCTCTTCCCCCTCTCCTTACTGTCAGACCCTGCTCTCCCTGAGCACATGGAAGTGAGGAGGAAATTTGAAAAAAAAATAACCTGGAAGTAAGCAGGCTGAGAGAGGGGGCAACACAGGGATTCTGGGTGCAATGTTGTGGCTCACCATGACTTGAAGAGTTAGTAGTGAGGAGGGCTGTGCTTAATGGGCACTACCTTATGTCTTATTCAGATGGGCTATACCAGGGGTGGACAATTGTTAAGTTGCCCTCCAGCCAAAATACTTTTTGGTGAGCCATCGAGGGCCACAAGGGTAGCCCTGCCCCTTGACGGGTGCCCCACCCCCTGGTCACCATCTTGGAACCAGAAGTCCCACCCGTAAACCTGACCTTTGCCACCAGAAGTCCCTCTCCTTGCTCCAAATGTACTCCTTTTGGGAGGGGGGGTGCCATCTTAAAACTGGGGGAAAAAATCGCAAACTGAAAAAATCAAACATCTACTATAACTTATTTTAATTTGATTTAAAAAATATATTTTTTGTCCTGATTTATGTGCGTTTGCATAATGTATCTACAGACAATTTAAAAATAGCTTGAAATACAATCTTACTCTTGTATCTTGTGGGGGGGGGGGGGTGTGCATGTGGGGCGTGGTACGGTGGGTGGGAGTTGGGGTGTGGAGGTATGTGGCTGGGGTGGGAGTGTGGGAGGGTGTGGGTGTGTGTTGGGGGTATGGTGGGGGATGGGGGAGGCAGGAGGGTGTGCATGTGTGGTGGTGGGAAGGGTCCTCTGAGTCCCTGGAGCATGAGAGTCCCTGGATCAGCATGTCGTAGCAGCAAGTGGGGCCAGCCCTGCCCAGTTCCATAACACGCAGCTCTCCGCGCTTCCACCCCAGTCCCCGGCCGCAGGTGGTGGCAGTATGCGGGGCTTGCTCCACCTGGCCCTATAGCACGCAGCTCCTGCATTCCTAACCCAGTCCCTGGCTACAGGTGGCAGCAGCATGTGGGGCTAGCCTTACCTGGCCCCATAACATGCAGCTCCCTCAAGTCCCTGGCTGCACATGGCAGCATGTGGGGCCAGCCTCACCTGACCACACGTAGTGGTAGCGAGCAGGGCCAGCCCCAGAGTGCACAGCTCCCTGCGCTCCCTTTCCCCTAGCAGGACTCCTTGGCCATGGCCTGTTGGGGCCCGTACCAGCATTTCCAGGCTCGCAGGCAGGGAGGGCTAGAAACAGCCTTGGGGTGGCCAGGCACAAGCCTCGGCCAGGTAGAGGCGTCTTATCTCCAGCGCCCCCTGGCTCGGGGCGGGTCAGGCCAGGTTGGGGTGGGGTGGGAGTTGGTTTCTTAGCAACGAGAGCCACACCTCCTGCATGGAGGCACTGGCTTGCAGAGGGGCAGCAAAGGCCAGGGGTTATGGAAGGGCCCCACAGGCCGGATCAAATTGCCAGGCAGGCCAGATGTGGCCCGCGGGCTGTATTTTGCTGTCCCGTGAGTTATACTAACTTGTTCTTGTGATAGGTTATTAGTAGTGTGTTTGTCCAGTGTGAGCCCTGTGTTTTATAATGATGCTCAGTGTTGGCTGCATTTAATCGACTTCACAGTTGGTTTCTGTTGCAGAGCACATGCTGGTTTTTTCAGCAGTTCAATGATAGTGTATTTAGTGAGATTTCCTTTTATGACGTTATAAGACCAGAGGCTTTTCCCCCCATGCCAACTGGGAGGGAACCTCATCTTGTATTTGAGTAAATGCAGTAACTGCATTTTCTTTCTCTTCTCAGCTTCCCTTTGTCCTGCTTCATCAAGCCTGCTAACAGGAGGCTAGTGTTTTCTGACTGCGGTTGGGGGAAAGCCATGTCTCTGGAAATTCCAGCTGCTTAGCAGTGCTGGGAGGGCTTGGATAAATAAATAATCTTTGATTAATTAGAGGGTGCCTCAACCTGATAAATCAAATATCAATCTGCAAATTTAATTTCGAGGGCATGCCTCCAGACCCACCCAACAACTTAGAAGCTGAAATAGAGATTGAGAGTTGTAAGTCCTGAGTTTTGTGCTCAGCTCTACCCCTTGCTCTGACTTTTGATTAATTGTCATTATTAAATATAATAAATACTTTACTTACAAAGATTTGGGAGAACACGGTGAAGATTTAGATGCCAGCAAGTCAAATTTGTTTAACTTATCAAATGTCTGTTGCATTACAAGTCATGAAGCACAAGTATTTTGAAGTCCTTAAAGGGAGTTTGTTTTCTTTCTAGCATTTTAAAGGTCCTCACTTTAAGAAAAGCCCAAGGTCAGAGTATCTTGGAAGTGCTGAAAACAGTCCGCCAGTGCCTAGAATCCCTTGGACAGCCACACTGTTTCTATCCGTCCTGTATACTCTTCCTTTTGGAACTTTTAGCCTGCCAGAAAGACTTCACCAAGTAAGTTCTTATCTTGATAAATCTCACGCAGCGCTGTTTGTGATGTCTTTGTAAGCTTTGACTGTTTACTGGTTTTAGAAGGTTAAACCAATCCAAATTAGTGATAGCCTTGTGGATGCAGATACAAGAACAATTCTGTATGTGGTGTTGAGAGCAAAATTTACGCTGCTGTGCACAATTTCCATGCCACATTTTAAAAGTTTAACTTTTGAAAGTGGGACTCGGAGATTTAGCTGTCCTGCCAATAGGGATCACGCAGCTTAGTAGTGAGTAGCTGTGGAAATGTTCCCATGTATCTAACGGGATCACAACAGCCAAAAAAATGAGAGCAGAGTAGCTTTCAAGCCATTCTTCCTCTACAGCCTTCTGTCTGTTGACTCCGTTTAAATTGTTGCCTAAGTCTGGGTTGGTTCATAAAGTTAAACCTAGCATGAGTTTCTCTTTAGTGCCTGTCAGACTCTTGAATGTGGAGGTGTGTCTCTCTTATCACTTTTTCCTTTATACATGTAATGGATTAGGTGTCTATGGTGAGGTTTGTGGTTGTAAAATTAGATTTTTCAGAGTGGTACATGGTATATCTTGTTAGTCATTTGGTTGTTCATGAATATTGATCATCTTAGGCATATTTGGAGATTAAGTTTGTGGTGTTCGTGTGGCTCTAGATTTGATTGTTCTAATTTGCCTGCAATTTACTGCCCAAACTAGCCTCTTTTTAACAATGCTGTCTAAGCTCTGTTAGCTGGTTTCTCAGTGGTGGTTTTTTCTTGTGAATGCGTTGGCCTTTTTGTGCTTTCTTTCACTAAAATGACCCCCTTTAGGTCCTTGGTCAAACTTTGTGGTTGACCTCAGTATCATTGATACCCTTGGAACAATTATTAGGGATTTCAAGTGCAATGTCTATCTGTTTTTTAAAGCTCAGTTGAAAATCAGTTTACTTATGGTAAGTGTTTAATTTAGTATTTGCATGGTTTGTGGTATCCGTTTACTGTGTAAAATGAAGTGATGGACCCTATCTGCTAAACATACTTTTTTTGGACTTCTAGTTATTTTGGAAACTCTGAAGGCTGTGGTGCTGAGCTGCACAAAGGAATTCGACAATCCTACTATCAGCTGGTTTTATTTTTGGTCAATGCCACGAAGGAATTTAGTAACATAAATGACAGGTATGGGAGAGAGCTCACCTGTGTGGTGTGGGATCTTATTTTTGTTACACTTGTCCTTATAGCTTCCTTCCTATTTGCTTCTGATATGTGGTCTTGTGTGTCAAATGAGATTACAAAATAACTTCAGTATAGTTTTACTGATTAGTATGTAGGAAAGCACAATACTAGATCACTTTTTTTGTTTATGGTGATAATTTTTAACTGCGCAGTATACTTTAAAGTGTGTACTAATACCTGTAAATGTTCTGTAGTATATTCTGAGAAATCAAGGAAACCTCGATTAGCAGTCTCTCCACTCCACTGTGCACTTCTCCATTACAGTTTCATGGTGAGACAGACTTTTGGCTAGAACTGTTGACATTTTTAAAGCTTTTGGGTTAGGGGAATGGAGTCCTGATATGTTTAATTTAGCACAGAATAGATGTGTTAAAACGTTGTAGTCACTAGTATTTTATTCTCCCAGCCTCCACTTCTCCCTAATCATACTGCTTCAGCTTTAGGATAAAGCTGTCATGGTTTCTCTTCCCAATTTGTTTAGATCATTGCTCCCTGCCTTATCCTGTGTGCAGACAACCCTCCTTCACCTTTTGGATATGAGTTGGGAACCAAATGATCTTTCCTTCTTTGTTGAAATACAGTTACCACATCTCCTCATGACCATGTCACAAGAAAACATAAGTATTCATGACAATGTGATTAGGTAAGCAGACTAATGTTTTTTATAGAACTTGGTTTTGATATTATTTCTGGCAAGGGTCAATTCTGAACTGTGTTGGAACAGGCAGGGAGAAAAAACAGTAATGACAAAGGGGGTAGAATTTTGTAAAGCACCCAAGTGGCAGTCACTTAAGTACTTTTGACAATTTGGCCAAAGTGTAATAAGGCAATAGCATTTGCACTACCAGAAGTCTGAGCAGCGTGGCACTGGTGGCAGGTAACCCAAAGACAGTTGGCATCTTGTTGTTCATTCATGAGTGTTGGCTCTGCGTATCAAAGCGTGCTTATCTCAGCACTCTTTTGCACTTTCCAGTTTGCTTTAGAGGGAAAAGAGACTGTAGGAAAACTAAGGTTAGCAGATTTAACCGACAACAGTTCTGCAAATCTAGAATTTCCCTGGGGATCTTCCGTGAATGTTAATTAAATATATTTTTTGTAAAAGAAGTCCCTGGAATATTGTGGTGTTATCCAAGTGAAATATAAATATCGGGAGCTTGTTCCCTCAGCACATTATAAGTTTGGATTTTTGTTTTTAAGGTAAACTGCGCTAGCCTACATTGTTATGAAGTCTGTTTGCATTCAAACTGCATTTTAAGCTTGTTTTTTTGGGCTTTTCTTTGTTTCTTTTTTTTTTAAGTCAGTGGAGTGAAGAAGATGAAATTACAGACTACAGGCAAAATTGTGAGTGGATGGATGAGTGTCAGGATATAACGTTTGAGACCTGGTATGAAAAGATAGCTCAAGCAGACCCTGAGAAGCAGAGACAGGTGACTTCAAAATTTGCTTATTTCATTCTTTCAGGCTCCCTTTTTTTTAAATCTAAAGAAGATGTTAAATAATAGGGCTGTGCGAAGCGTCGGTCCCCAATTCCGTTTGGTGGAGATTCGGCCTGATTCGGAGGCTGAATCTCCGAATCCGAATCGAATGGAGACCCTTTAATCTCTCCAAATTGAATCGGAACCCTCCGAATCGATTCTGAAAGATGCGACGATTCAGACATAGACACAGCTTTAAATGTTTTTTCTGCATACCTCAAGGTACCAGGAGGCTTGTGAATGCTGACATGTTGGGGCAGATGGAGTGCCCCGCAGGAGTGCTGGGGGGTTCCCAGAGCACTTGGCAGCAGACCCAGAAGTGGACCAGAAGCACTTCCGGTCCACTTCTGTGTCCACTGGAGAGTGCACTGGAGGGCCCCCCTGGCCCGGCAACTGGTGCCTCCTGGGTCTGGGGGGGCACCCTGAATCCCCCCACACTGATCACCGAGCCGGGGGGGGTGCAAGGAACCACCCTGCGCACTCGGTGGCAGACCCAAAAGTGGACCAGAAGTACTTTTGGTCCATTTCCAGGTTGACTGCCAAGCATGGTGGGGGCGGGCCCGCGCTTCTGTGGGACGCTCCATCTGCCCCACCATCGCAGCATTCACAAGCCACGCCTGGTACTTTGAGGTATGTAGAAAAAGCATTAAAAGCTGTGTTTATGGCTGAATCGCCGATTCTCCGAATCGGCATTGAATCTTCAGATTCAGATTCAGCCGAATTTAATTGGGGACAGTGATCCGAATTGATGAATCGAATCACTGTCCCTGATTCGGGCCGAATCCAAATTGAATATGGCCCGTCTTGCACACCCCCATTAAATAAGAAACTTTCAAAGACACAAAAGGGGAAGTACCTATCTCTAGTTGGCTTTCTATTAAATGGTTGGGCTATTGAAATGTACCTTAGGATGGGGATGTCTTACTCTGTTTTCTTTCTGCTGGGGGGGGGGGGGG